GCTTAAGAGGCGGTGCCGGCGGGGGGACGGGGCGCAGGCCCGAGGACGGGCACCGGGGCGCAGGCCGCGTCCAACCCCTTGATGGGGGCGTGGGGGGGGGGAGGTTAGGGAATTGGAGCTTTGGCTCCTGTTAGAGCAAAAAGCAGCCCAGGCCATGAGTTCAAGACCCACACCAATAAAATGAGTGGGGAGGGAAATAGGACGGCCAGAGGCTAGACCGTGACAAATGGAAAGCCAGACCTACAAGCCCAGGAGCTAACAGTACTCATTACCTTACTCATGTAAGCGGAATCCCTCTGTATAATATCTTACACACACACACACACACACGGCTGAGGTGTGGAAAAGGTCCTAGCATCTATCAGCAACCCGAGACTTGTGGCCTCGGGCACCTTCAGACAGCCCCACAGCCTCATTTCAGGCGGCTCCAGGCAGTTAGGTTGAAGCAGAAAACTCACTTGCTACCTGGGTGTCGGCATGGGATAGAAGGCAGGCTGTTGCCAAAAACTTCCCAGAACCAGCAGGAGGCAGCTGTGGAGAGGGAGACAGCACTACAGCATTCGGAACCAACCTCAGTCCCCTGACTGCCACTGGCAAGAAGACTCAAGCAGTACTTGGGGCAAAAACAAGCAGCGTATCTGAGCCATTTGAATATTCAGCATCTTCTCACATACAGCTGCCTAGATTCTTTTACCAAGAACTAAACAGAGGGATACGGATGCAAACCATCTTTTAAAAGCAGTCTCACTTGAACAGCATGATAAAGGAAGCCAATAGGCACCCTAAAATCTGATCACCTTCCTCAGTGCAATACTTACTGGCTGGTTGTGAAGCCACACACACACACACACAGTAAATAAGACAACTCTTGTTGGTCAAGGATATGACTGACATGCCCACTTGACCATTCACTAATAGGGGCAAAGATTACAGGGCCTGCTACCATGTGCTTTATCCCAATAAGAACACCTAGGGATAACTCCGTGCTCTTTGCGTGGAGACTACCACAAATACAAAATGCAACACAAGATTTCCTACGTCAAGTCCTGACCACAACTTGACTTTGAACACAGGAGGTTTAACAAAACTGGTAGATCCAAAGGGCTCTCTGTAGCAACCACCATCTCTTAGGATACACACACAAACTTCCCCTGACAAAATCTGGGTGCCATTCAACCTATGGTTGAATGAACTGTGTTCTAAGATAGCTGTAAAGGGGGACAGTTGCTGGGCACCGGTGGCTCATGCCTGTAATCCTAGCTACTCAAAAGGCTGAGATCTGAGGATCACAGTTCGAAGTCGGCCCAGGCAGGAAAAGTCCATGAGACTCTTATCTCCCTAATAAATTACTCACAAAACGCCAGAAGTGATGCTCAAGTAGTGAAGCACTAGCCTTGAAAGAAAAAAAAAAGGCTCAGGGATAAAGCCCAAGCCCAGAGGTCAAGCCCCAGGACCGGCAAAAAAAAGTGGAAGGCCCGCAGAAAAGTGGCTTAGTATGGGCTGGGAAGGTGGCTCAGTGGTAGAGCGCTTGCCTTGCATGCCTGAGGCCCTGGGTTCAATTCCCCAGCACCACATAAGCAGAAAGAAAAAAGTCGGTAGTGGCACTGTGGCTCAAGTGGTAAAATACTAGCCTTGAGCTGAAGAGCTGAGCGGCAGCAGTGGCCCTCCTGCCAGTGGTAGAGTGCTCGCCTAGCACGCATGGGGCCCTGGGTTTGGTTCATTACCACATACACAGAAAAGGCCAGAAGTGGCGCTGTGGCTCAAGTGGTAGAGTGCTAGCCCTGAGCAAAAGCAGCTCAGGGACAGTACCCAAGCCCTGAGTTCAAGCCCCAGGATTGGGGGGGAAAAGAGGAGGGTGGTAGTATAGCAGGGATCTAAGGACCAATAAAGGACTGGGCTAGGAGGACCAAATGGACCTCCTGTCAGACAATATTCCAACCCACATAGCTGGCTCATTTCCTGACGTGACTCTGTATAGACAAGATCTTAAAACAGCCCTCAGTCACCTGCACTTCCTAAGAGAAAGGGATATCTTGTTTTGGTGGTCACACCTGTGCAGTGGAAAGGGAAGGGACCCAGCACCCTGCCCAGACCACTGGAGGAGCCCACAGTCCTGTCTGGCATGTCCTGTTGATTCTCTGGGCAGAATCTCACTCACTGCTGGCTTCCAGAGACTCCATGTGTAAGCAAGGTATGAATTATCAACGCAGGGGTCCAGGGCAGCTCTCAGCCACTAGAATTGTGGCTAGCCTCACCATATCAGCTGTCAGATGGGATGATCTGAGTCTCAGTTGCATTTCTGGTAGGACAAAGCCCAGCATGTCTACCCTAGGCACCAACAGGAATCAGGACCCTTCTGCCACTCTGCACTATGTGACAAATTCTTTTTTTTTTTTTTTGTTGGGGGGGGGTCTGGGCGTGGGGCTTGAACTCCGGGCCTGGGCGCTGTCCCTCAGCTCTTCAGCTCAAGGCTAGCGCTCTACCACTTGAGCTACAGTGCCACTTCCGGCTTTTTTCTTATGTGGTGCTGAGGAATCGAACCCAGGGCCTCAGGCATGCAAGGCAAGCGCTCTACCACTGAGCCAACTTCCCAGCCCTATGTGACAAATTCTTGAAAGTAAGGTTGAACCTAAACTGCAGGATTTGAAGAGTAGAGAATGGTCAACTCAGAAGGTGATTCCTCCCCTTTACTCTGCCCTTTCAGACACAACTGTACAGGCCGCTTCTTGGAGCTCCTATGCCCAGGAGAGAAGCTTGGCTACATGACAGTTTCTAGACGTGTGGCTGACTGTTTGCCATTTGAACATTACAGCAAATGATTCTATTTGTAGTTTCTAAACCCCCTCTCCCTCCCCCCAAAAAAAACTGTACATGAGTTTACAAACATATTAACATATAAATAATGAGAAAGGTCCTGGGGAGCCTCCCCGTTGTCTCTGCTGGAGATAACACTTGAGGGGAGCTGTCCCCACAGACGGCATGTGCCTGGGGAGCCTCATGGTGTTTGTTCGGGGGCCCGCCGCTAGCTTCTTTGGCACCTCCAGGTTCAACTGCTAGTCTGACTTCTGCTGTGCCCACAGAGGGTCAGAACCCTGCGGCAGCAGTGGCCCTCCTGCCAGTCATCGCTCCGGCTCGAGCTCATGCTGGAAGGGACGCTTCCTCTCTCGACAGTGCTTCTTGTGGGCAGGCCAGTCCTTCTGCTGGCACTGGGAACCACAGTACCGTGCCACCTGGCAACGCCCACAGATGTTGAACTCCCGAAGCTGAAACACAGAAGACCATGGCTCACCTTCAGATTGGGTCAGAGTGTGGGACTGAAGTTACATTTCAGAATCTGGAAGGACCCAGCAAAACTCCATGCAGCAGGATGGGGGTATAACTAAGAGGCAGATCACTGGTCTAGATGTACAAGACCCAGGGTTAGATCCTAACATCATAAATAAAAACAACCCTCCCCCACCAAGGCATGCCAGTCACTAGCGGCTCACGCCTGTAAACCTAGCTACACTAAGACCTGAGAATCGTGGTTCAAAGCCAGTCCAGGCAGGAAAGTCTGTGAGACTCTTATCTCCAATAAACTACTCAGAAAATGCTAGAAGTGGCACTGTGGCTCAAAGTGGCAGAGTGAAAGAGCCCAGGGCCCCATGATGGACACACAAAAAGAAAAAATCCAGACACCATGGCTGGAGTGCATGGCCCTTCTTGGACAGGGACAGCAGCAAAGGGAGAGCCACCCTGAGGAGAACCCGGGGATGCCTCGGGGAGTGTAGGGTAGAACTCCACACTGCGGCTGAGCTGCTGGGCAGAGCTGGCCACGAGCCCAGGCCGTGCTGCGATGCGTGGTACCTGCTTCTCAATTACTGTGCACGGAGGGTAATGACACTCATAGTAGGTGCAGGAGTTCTCCTCCTCCTCTACCACATCCCCATTGGCATTGTAGTACCGCGTCACGTTCAGGACAGGGAACTGCTCTTCTATGGGGTCCGTGGGCAGCTGCTGGATTGCAAGCCAGTACAAACTTTGCTCTCTGAAAGAAAGCAGAAACCTCTATGTTCCAACCCGATCAGGTCGGTACAAGGGAGGAAGCTGTAACTCGGGGACCCATGTGTCCTGCCCAGGTCAGCCCAAATGTTTTCACTCCATCAACTCTGAGTTCTGTTGGCCCATCCCCACTCTGTATACTTACCACTACATAACATTAACTATTTAGCACCCTCTAACAAATAAGCACTTATCTACTACTCTCTCCAACGTAGGTACATAAGCAAACATGGCCCCTGGGTGAAGCCAGGAAGCCCTGCCACCTTACCCTTGACCCTGGGAGGTGCCTGCTATTACCATGTCAGCTTACTTCTCCTTCGGTGTTGTGTTTGTCCTGCATCCTTACAGAAACCTCTCCGTAAGCCACAGCACACTCCACCAACAACTGAATCTGCATGTGACCTGCACATGCAGAAGGCCCCAGAATGACTCCTGGCTGCTCATACGTGTGCAGGTTTCACAGTCAGGTCTTGACAGAAGCCAGACTGTGCAGGCACATGGTTACAAAGGAAGGTGAGCAAGCAGACAGATGCATGCTGCTATGCTATGTATGGGGTTTTTCCTAGTAGCAGGATTTGAACTCAAGGCCTCACACTCAGCTCAGTTGCTTGGTTGGTGCTCTACCACTTGAACCATACTCCCAGCTTGGCTTTTTGCTGGTTATTTTGGAGATGACTTTGCTCACCAGGCTACCTTTGAACTAAAATTCTCTGGGTCTCAGCCTCCTAAGTAGCTAGATTACAAGTGTGAGCCACCAGCAGCCAACAGAGAGGTTATTTTATAAGTTAAGACCTTCTCTGAGGTCCTACAAGTCAGGCAAGATTCAGATGCATCCTTCTAAAGTGGGAAGATACCTTTGTACAGAAGCCACCTGGAGTCAGGTGCCAGTGGCTCACATCTATAATCCTAGCTACTCAGGAGGGTGAGATCTGAGGATTGCAGTTCAAAGCCAGCCCTGGCAGGAAAGTACATGAGGGTTCTATCTCCAATAAACCACCAGAAAACCAGGGGTGGCTCTGTGGCTCAAGGTGCTTGATTTGAGCTGAAAAGCTGAGGGACAGCGCCCGGGCCCATAGTTCAAGCTCCTCCAACCGACCAAAAACAAAAAACAAAAACAAAAAAAGAAGAAGTCACATGGATAGCTGAGCTGTACTCCTAGTCCCACTAATCAGTTCCAGGGAACAACAGAAAACTCAGGCCTGGGAGAAGCCAGTGTCTAGTCCTAGCCAGCCAAAGGCAATGTGACCCCACCACAAAGAACCAGCTGACATGGAAGCCACAGCCAAGAACCAGGATACACAACCCAGACCAGCAAGGACTTCCAGCCCACTCAGGAGTGGACCTGACTGCTGCTCCCAGCTATCAGTCCAAGTGGACAGACCCTATACCAACAAGTCAAGAATATCCACACGTATGAACGGATCCTGGGCGACCAGGAGCCCACCTCCACCAAGGTGACTCAAAGCACAAAACCAACAGCGCTCATCCCCAACAGGCTATGAGGAATAGCCTAACAAAGGGCCACCAGGCTAGCAGTCCACTGACCCTAGGGGACAGTTTCAATCTGTGGTCTGTAACTGTGCCCTTTTATAAAGGAGACAGTTTTCTAATTTCTCATGACAACAAAGGGTATTCCGAGTTAGGCACAGTGGGTTCAAACCTGCAAATCCCAGTTTCTTTGGAGCCAAAGGCAGGAGGATCAGTAATTCTAGACCCTATCTCAAAAACAAAATATAGCCAGGTGCCAATGGCTCTTACCTGAAAACTTAGCTACTAAAGAAGATGAGACCTGGAGCACCCAGCTCAAAGCCAACTCTAGCAGAAAAGTCTACAAGACTCTATGTCCAATTAATCAGTAAAGGAAGTGGCTCTGTGGCTCAAGCGGTAGACTGCTTTGCCTTCAGCTGAAGAGTGCAGAGACAGCACTCAAGCCCAGAGTTCAAGCCCCATGACTGACAAAATAAATAAATAAATAATACAATTAATTAGTAAAATGCTGGACCACAGCATTGGTCAAGTGTTAGAGCACCAGTGATGAGCAAAAAAGCTGAGCAAAATATGAGGCCCTAGCTGGGTGCCGAGGCTCAGGCCTGTAATCCTAGCTATTCAGAAAGCTGAGCTCTGAGGATCTTGGTTCAAAGCCAGCCCAGGCAAAGAAAGTCCGTAAAACTCTTATCTCCAGTTAAGTACCAGAAAACTGGAAGTGGCGCCATGGCTCGAGTGGTAGAGTGCTCTCCTTGAGCTGAAGAGCTCAGAAACAGCACCCAGGCAGAGTTCAAGCCCTACAACCAACCCTCCCGCCCCCCACCCCCCCCCAGCAAAAAAAAGAGGCTGTGTTCAAGACCTAGTACCAGTACAAAAAAATATACAAAAATAGCCTGGTGCCAGTGGCTCATATCTGTAATCCTAACTATTCAGAAGGCTGAGATGTGAATATCATGGTCCAAATCCAGCCAGGAAGGAAAGTCTGTGAGACTCTTATCTCTAATTAACCCCCCCCCACACACACACAAAAGAGCAGGAAGTGGAGCTACTCAAGTGGTAGAGTGCCAGCCTTGAGCATAAAGGCTCAACAATAGTGCCCAGGCCCTGGGTTTAAGCCCCAGGACAGGCAATACATACATATACGTATACATACGTATATATTCAATACACACACACACACACACACACACACACACACACACACGTTAAGAAAGGACTATCAGGCACTGGTGGCTCATGCCTGTAATCCTAGCTACTCAGGAGGCTGGTATCTGAGGACTGCTGTTGAAAGCCAGCTGGGACAGCAAAGTCAATGACACTAATCTTCAATCAACTACTCAGAAAAAGTCAGACGTTGTGCTGTGGCTCAAGTGGTAGACCTTTAGTCTTAAGCAAAAGAAACTCAGGGACGGCACCCAGGCTCTGAGTTCAAGGCCCAGAAACCTAGCCAATCACCAGTGACTCATAGCTGTAACCCTAGCTTCACTTAAGAACTTCAATCTCAAGACTGGTTTGAAGGAAGCCTGGGCAGACAGTTCTGTGAGACTCTCATCTCCAATTAACCAGCAAAAAGCCAAAAGTGGAAGTATGGCTCAAGCAAATGGTAGGGGCTGGCTTTGAACCATGATCCTCAGATCTCAGCTTCTTGAGTAACTAGTATTATAGGTTTGAGCTACCAGCACCCAGCTATCTGGAGACTTTTAGCTCCAATTAACTACTAAAAAGCTAGAAGTGGGGGCTGGGAAGGTGGCTCAGTGGTAGAGCGCATGCCTTGCATGCCTGAGGCCCTGGGTTCAATTCCTCAGCACCACATAAGCAAAAAGAAAAAAGCCGGAAGTGGTGCTGTGGCTCAAGTGGTAGAGCGCTAGCCTTGCGCTGAAGAGCTGAGGGACAGCGCCCAGGTCCAGAGTTCAGGCCCCATGACCAGACCCAAAAAAAAAAAAAAAAAAAGCTGGAAGTGGTACTGTGGCTCAAGTGGTAGAGTGCAAACCTTCAACAAAAGAAGCAGAAGGACAGTGCCCGGGCCAACCAAGTTCAAGCCCCAGGATCCCTTGTCTCCCCCCTCTCTCTCATACACACACACACACACTCACACAGAATTAGAGGAAGCCACATATTCCTTTGTTTTCCCCACTCTAGTCAAAGTCAATAAATGCACTATTTTTGCTTCAGCCAAATTGAGATCAGTTTCTTTTACTTGTAACCCCAAGTCCAAACCAACATAATCCCCCAAAGCATAAAACTCTACTAAGTTTCACTGAAGAACAGGCAACTGAAGGGTCAAAATTCTGACGTCAGATAGGAAACAAACTAGTTCCTGGTGGCTCAGGGCTATAATCCTAGCTACTCAGGAGGCTGAGATCTGAAGATCTCAATTCAAAGCTAGCCTGAGCAGAAAAACCCGTGAGACTCTTATCTCCAATTACCACCAAAAAGCTGGAAGTGAAGATGTGACTCAAGTGGCACTAGTAGTGAGCAAAAAAGCTCAGGGATAGTGCCCACATCCTAAATTTAAGCACTCAGGACCAGCATGTGTACGTGCCCATGCACTTACACACAAGAATAGGGAATAAATTATCGATAGAAGACACAGACCTTCACAAGGCTGCCTTCACCTTGCAAGCCCACAAGGAAACGCAAGTGTGTGGAGCAAAGGACAATGAGAGGCTAAGAGTGGCAGAATGAAGGAAGCCCTTTAAGGACCTAGAAACCACCTCCTTACAACATCAACTGCAGCCTGCTGAGCCCTCCCACCACCTCTTCCTCCACAGCAGGATGACCCAAAGGCAACTGCAAAGGTCTGCGTACTCTCTGAACATCAACCCCACCAAAGCCACTAACATCCCATGGGGTGGCCAATGCTACCCAGGAACTTACGATACATAGTCACCCAAGAAGCCCTATGAGCACATCAACAATTCATGTCTAAAGACTGCTCTCAATTTGGTTCTACACTCTCCTACTGGTCCCTTGGCTCTTCCTGGGCCATCTATAAGGGTCATAGCTGGGCTGATGCTGTGGAGAGCAAGTAATAACCTCCAGAGTAGAACACTTGTACAGAACACTGTTTTCAGGACCACAGGATGCTAGAGGACAAAAGGCTAAACTACAAATGTCCTACTTCCCTTAAACTTCAAGGAAAATTGTTAGGCAGAACAAGATAGAGACCCATCTGTGTATAAAGGAGTAGGTCCAAGGCTGGCTTCACTCCATCAGATCCACTACAGTGCTCCTAAAGCCAAGTATCACAAGATCAACTCCCTCAAAATACAATCATCAAAACTTCCCATTCAGCCAGGCACTGGTGGCTCATGACACTCCTACCACTCAGGAGGCTGAAATCTAAGGATCAAAGTTCCTGAAGCAAGCCCAGGCAGACAAACAGACAAATCTGTAAGACTCTTATATCCAATTAACCGACAAAAAGCCAGAATTAGAGCATGGTTCAAGTGGTAGAGTGCCAGCCGAGTGTGACAAAGCCATGGGAGCGTACAAGGCTCAGAGTCCTAGCTAGCCCTAGGACTGTGTGTGTGGTGTGTGTGCACACGTGCAGCCACACACAGAAGCCTCACACGTTGGAGAAAAATAACTCATGTCCCAAAGCCGTCAGAGTTATCAGACACCAAGCACCTGGAGGAGATACTAGCAGAGGAAGACCCACCTCTGTTTGCTGGAGGTCTCTTCGGCTTTGGGTCGCCAGCCCCATGGTACCAGCTCCAAGTTGTCCAGGCGATTGTCCACTGTCACTGAGTTGAGATGCACCACTTGAAACCCAGGAGCCACGCCTCCCCTGTGCCGCTCCCTAGGGAAAGACAACACTCAAGTGCCACCTCTGACCCACACCCAGAGAGAAATACCAGCCACACAGTCTAACCTGGGTCCTCACTCTGCTGATGGGGGCACACCTAGGCAAGGCTGCTGAGCTACACTGATGAGTCTAGCCCTGGATTTATGGGCAGGTCTCAAAGAGGCAAGAATAAAACCCCAAAACTGCCAAGACAAGTAGCTTAAAGACAAGTTCCAGTACCTCAGAGCCCTACCTTGCATACTGAGTAGCCATGGTTCCCAGAGTCAGTCTGCATCTCAACAAGCTCAGCAAGAGCTCAGCGGACAGCAGAACCCCTCCCTCCATAGGAAGCCCCATACCAGCTGAATCCACTAGGCATTTCAAGTACAATATGCAAACTTGTCATTCCTTTAGGTTAGTGGTAAAGGACAGAAAAATAACTTTCAGCCAGGCACCAGTGGCTCACACCTGACATCCTCACTACTCAGGAGACTTAAACCTGAGGATCACAGTTCCAAGCCAGCCGGAGCAGAAAAGCCCCCATGGAAGTAGAACTGTGACTCAAAGTGGTAAAGTGTTAGCCTTGAGCAAAAGAGCTCAAGGACAGCACCCAGGCCCTGGGTTCAAGTCCTGTGACCAACAACAACAAAAAAAAACTTTCAGTCGGGTGCCAGGGGCTCACGCCTGTAACCCTAGTTACTCAGGAGGCTACTCAGATCTGAGGATCGCAGTTCAAACCCAGCCCAGGCAGGAAAGTCCATTAAGACTCTTACCTCTAATTAACCACCAGGCACCAGAAAACCCAAAATGGCTCTGTGGCCTAAGTGGTAGAGCACTTACCTTGAGCTAAAGAGCTCAGGGACAGTGCCCAGGCCCAGAGTTCAAGCCTCACAACCAACAATAAATAAAAAAGTAACAAACAAACAAACAGCTTTCAGACCCAGGGATGACAAGGCAAATCTGACTCTACTAGGCAGGTAGCTCTCCTGCCTCCAAACATCCTGCACACTCTAGAGCTCACAGAGACCCCACATGAGAACTAAGGCAGCTAAAAAATACCCACTAAGTGAAAATTAGGAAGAACATGGAAGGGTTAACTGATCAAGATGCATGTATTCATATCCTGACTTTTGGAATTATAACCTCTTTTGTACAACAATAACAACAGCAACAACAACAACAACATAATAATAACAACAACCCACCACAGCAGCTCATGGAGGAGTCTACCCGATCCCCTTCCTCGGTTTTTGTCGAAGGCATATGCAAATATCTTAGCACCATTTCCATCAGCATCTACTTCCATTCGAGCCTGAGACAGAATAGAGAAAAAGTCTGTTAAAAAGCTTCCAAGGCCGATGCCAACAGCTCACACCTATAATCCCAGATACTCAGAAGACTGACATTTGAGGATCACCGTTCAAAGCCAGCCCGGGTAGAAAAGTCCACAAGACACTTATCTCCAATTAACCACCAGAAAATTGGCAGTGGTGCTATAGCTCAAAGTGATAGAGCGCTAGCACTGAGCTGTGGAGCTCAGGAACAGGGCTCAGGCCCAGAGTTCAAGACCCATGACTGATTCAAAAAAATAAAAAAAATAAAGCTTCCAAGCTGGGAGCCAGTAGCTCACATCTGTAATCCTAACTACTCAGGAGGGGCTGAGATCTGAGGATAGCAGTTCAAAGCCAGTCCAGGCAGAAAGGTCCCTGTGAGACTCTTACTTCCAATTAACCAGACAAAAACCAGAAATGGAGCTGTTGCTTAAAGTGATAGAATGCTAGCCTTGAACAAAAGAGCTCAGTAACAGCACCCAAGCCGAGTTCAAGCCCCACAATCAACTAAAGCTTCCAATTCTCAGGAACATTTCAGGGAGCTGAGATCTGAGAATTGCAGTTCAAAGCCAGCCCAGGCAGGGAAGTCCATGAGACTATCTTCAATTAACCACCCGAAAACACAGAAGTGGCACTGTGGCTCAAAGTGGTAGAGTACTAGCTTTGAGTAAAAAAGCTCAGAGACAGCACCCAGGCCCTGAGTTTAAGCTCCAAGACTGATTTAAAAAATGGTGGGGGCTGGACACAGGTGGTTCACGCCCATAATCCTAGCTACTCAGGAGGCTGAGATCTGAGGATCTCGGTTCAAAGATAGCCTGGGCAGGAAAGTCCCTGAGATTCTTATCTCCAATAAGCCACCAGAAAATCTGAAATAGCCCTGTGGTTCAAGTGGCAGAGATCAGGGACAGCACCCAGACCCAGAGTTTAAGCCCCACGACTGATCAAAAACAACAAAACTGACAGGAGTGGTTCAAGTGGTAGACCACCTGCCCAGCAGGCCCACAGTCCTGGGTTCAATCCCCAGTACCACACACACACACACACACACACACACACACAGTCCTGGGTTCAATCCCCAGTACCACACACACACACACAGTCCTGGGTTCAATCCCCAGTACCACACACACACACAGACACACACACACACACACAGACACACACACACACACACAGACACACAGACACACACACACACACACACACACACACACACCAATACATGGAGGAAGAAAAACTCCTGGCCAAGCACTGGCCGTGTTAGTGTGAGGTGCTGAGATGGAGGCAGAGGGCAGGATGACCACTGCTGATCAGGGTTACTTTAGTGGGGAGTGGGTGGCAGAAACAGCTCCTAGAGGAACACTAGGAAGGAGCAAAGTCCTCACAACAGCTGCAGCTACAGAACTATGCTCACTTGATTTAACAGACATCCAATCAAACTCGGACATTCTGGTATGTTTTCAAGCAGAGCCAGCAACCAGGGTGCACATGAGGAAGACAGTCACAGAGGCTGCATGGAGCTGGGCAGCTACAAGAGGCCCTGCTGAGCAGTGGCAGGCAGGCTGCTGATACCTGGCTTCTGGACAAGGCAGCCCTGAGGGATCCCAGGCCAACCCTGGCTGGCTCCATCCAGGTGAGGTCTCCAGCTCCCCCAACAGAGACAGAAACTCATTCTTGACTCTTCCTGGGGGCACAGATCAAAGAAACACGAAAGATCTAGTGATCCTTACCTCAAAGGAGTAGCTCTCCACCAGGGGGATGTCTTGCTCATCTATCAGAGTGTACTTGGTCTGAAAATTAACCACACATTTCAAAATCATTCAAAAGATACTCACAAGAACAATAACATTGTAACCAGGAACCTGATTCCTTTATCTTGTGAAGCAGAAGGTAACCAACCACATGCCTCTTCAGACTAAGACACATCAGCCTCAGGGCATGGGGCCAAAAATGCAGGCAGGAAATGTTAAAAGTCAGTCATGCCCACGAGTGGCAGGTATCAGGCTTCTATACCCATCCACACAGGACCGACCCCGACAGGGGGCACTAGGCCTTTCATGTGGCAATAAGCCCAGTCAGAGGCATTGTCAGTGAAGTAGAGGGAGGGGGTGGGACCGAAGCAGAGCATACAAGTTCCAGAGAGTGTATTCACTAGGCAGGGCAGTAGACATGTGCTCACTGGATAGTCAGGCTCAGCTTTCCATCTGAGACGTAGCAAAGAAAAGCTTCTCAAGGGCTGGTGTTCATGCAACCAGTTTCTGAGTTAGAAGGTCTCGGACAAGACCCGGGTCTTACGACTCTGCTCAGACAGCTCCAGAGCCTCTGCCTGAGATTCTGCAAAAATGGCAGGAAACGCTTCTCAAGATGGGCCCGTCTCACTCTCGTGGGATCTGCTGGGATGGGAGCCACCCGCCGGCCCGACTTCTACCGCTGCTCCTCCTCCCGGCCTCCCTGCGCGGCCGCCAGGGGCAGGGGCAGGGGCAGGGGCAGCCCTGGGCCCGGGCTCCGCCGGGCCTCGGAGCCCACAGGTGCCCACCGAGCGAAG